TTTATTATTAACTCAATATTATTTTTTAACTGCAATTTTTCAAAAATAATAATAATAAAATACAAAATATTTTATACAAAAGTCAAAAAGTAAAAATATTCATTACAAAAAGTCGTTACAAAAAATCAAATATTTAACATAAAATAATACTACCTCCATCCATTAGAAACTTCCTATTTTACATTTGAGGTCATTTTTTTTAATATTAAAAATATATTTATATTTATATAATTTTTTTAAAAGATCATTATATTAATATTATAAGAGACTAAGGGTGTGTTGGTACGGAAAAATGAGCATAGAGAAATGAAAATAGCTTTTTCTGGTTGTTTGAGTCAGAGAAAATAAATTTCATTTTTCTTTTTTCATTTCTATCACATATAAAGAGAAATAGAGAGAAATGATGTTGCAATATATATTTTAAAATTTTTAGATATTATTTGTACTATTTAATTTTTACGATTTTTTTAAGAAATTGTACTAAAATATAATCTTAAAAAATATTGTATATAATTATAATTTTTTTAAAAAAAAATCACAAAAAATATTTTTCATGAATTCTTATTCATTAAAAAAAAAATTATCCGGTTAATCATTTATTATTATATCTGTATTTTTTTTTACATTTCTCAACTAAATTCTCTATTTTACCAGACAAAAGAATTAATTCTCATTTTCTATTCAATTTATTATTTACTCTCATCTTTCTGCAATTCAATCAAACGTCCCCTAACAGAAGTCTTTTTTTTTTTTTCATTTTTCCTTAATTTATACAATGTTTGATATAATAATTAATATTCAAATATCAACATTCAAAAAATAAATGAAAAATTTTCTCTTAGACTGACGAAGTATATTTTATATTTTTTTACACAATTTTTAATACCACGCACAAAAATTATTTCATCCAAAAACGCCGCGTAAACAGAGTCAGTATTCCTGCACAAAATCCGAAACTCCAAATATTCTCGAAAACATATATACGTACGTAGATCATGATATCCCATCATCTTTATATCACTTAAGGGTGTGTTTGGGTTGAGACATAAAATTGTTGGTTGGTTGTGGCCAACAAAACATCGATCATTCCAAAAATAAGTAAGTGTGTAATTAAGCAAGCATAATGTAATAAAGGATCATGTCGTGTTTTTTGTTACAGATATATAATACTAGTTTTCATGATGTGATTTGGAGGCCCTAAATTGTCTTTCCACTATTTATTATTCTTTTTTATTCGAGATAATTATGTCATTTTTGTTTTTATTATCCGTTATGTATATATAATTTATTTATAATAAATAATTTTATTTATTCATAATCTCATTACTCTTGTTTTAACAAATAATTAGAGTTTGTTTTTTTCAATATATATATTTTTTTTCATACGATTCTCAATATATATACTATACTATATTCTACCATTTTACAAAAAATAAATATTCAATAATAAATATTACTTACACAATTATCTATATTTCGCATAAAAAAATATATTTCGAACAAAAACACTAAACAAGATTTGTTTGTCTATGTAATATATACATTTTTTTTTTCTAAAAAAATATTATAGCATAAATTTTGTCTTTCTCCAATATGCGCTCATATTTCTTGGCATGAATTTTAGTGTCGATGTATTTTTTTTTATAGTAAAAAAAATCAGTATAATTTTTTAATAAAATAATAATATTTTTAAGAGAAAACAATACTTCATTTTTAAATGAAAGATAGGAATATTAATTGTAATATTCGGTGACTATATATCATTTGCTTCTAAAAGTTAAGATAAATCCAAAAATAATTTCAATTAGTCATTATTACTTTTTAACGATAAAAGTTGTTGTACGTAGATTTTATACTAAAATAAAAGGATTTATGAATTTAAATTATCTCACAAAACAAACGCACCTTAAGTTACACTCGATTATGTTTTAGGCCTATTTTAGGTCTATGCAACACCACAAATTATTATTTTGTTAGTTATTTACTATGTAATTATATTATGATATGACTTTTTATATATTTTTTTATTAGTTAAAATTATATATATATTCCGGTTGTCCTCTAAATTTATATTTATAGTAAATAATTTTATTTATTCATAATTTTCGATGCATTTGGTTAACAGTTGGATTTTTGAGTCGGAAGTAATTTATTTACTTAATATGTAATTAATGAGGTAATATATATATAATTAATTTTCTTAAATATGTATTAATTATTTTAATAACTATATTTTAATAAAATATATATAATATAGATATTATTTTGTAAAAAATAATTTTTTATTATATAAATAAAGAAAAGTATAAATATTTATTTATAATTAATATACATAAATTTTATAAATAAATGAAATTTTTTGAATATATAATATATATATATATATAAATATATTTGTTTATTGTTGATAAATAAAAATTAAAAATTTTGAATAGATTTTGAGTAGACCTTATATAATATTTTGAAGAAAATAAAATTAGAAGCATAATGTCAATTTAGAATAGAACGGAACCAAAACAATATTTTATTATTTATATTTTAACAAATAATAATTAATTTTTTACTATTTAATACTTATCTCATTATTTTTAATAAAATTTTTGTAGTACCCTAATTTAGGTTTTACATATCATATTTTAACATTATAATATTATTATTTTTTAATGTTAATGTCCAAGAAAACTTATATAAATTTACCGGACGAAGAGCGTATTATATTTTATGAACGGGTGTTTTCACGTATGGAAGTCCGGCCAACGACAAACACAACCAACTTGAAATCTCTCAAAAACTTTAAAGAGACACAATTATGAATGAATCTTTACAACTAAATATATTTACAATAGGGAAAAAATAAATACAATCCGAAAAATCGAATTTGAGTATAATACTCTCTCCGTCCAATTTCTATTGTCATAAAATATATTTGCACGATTTTTTAGGTGATTGTATTTTTGTTATGAATTGACAAATTTGTCCTTAATTGTATGGTAGAGGTTGAAAGTAATAAATGAATGAATGGTAAATGTAAAATTTGTGTTTAAAAAAAAAAAAAAAGGACAATAGTTATTGGACGTCCAAATAGGAAAGTAAAATATTAATTTGTGGACGGAGGGAGTATAAAAAGTAAGAATTTGGACCTAAAATTTAGATTTGAAATATTTTTAGGTTAGGCTAGCCCAGCACGGTTGCAAATTTGGGCCGTGTCTGAATTTGTACAAATTGGCCGTGCCGGCCCAACGTAATTTATTAAAATAATTTAAATTTAATTTTTTTTTCTTAAATGTATAATAAAATAAAAGGTTAATTATATATTTAATGTTCAATATTCTAACATTAATAAAAATATTATATTATCATAATTTTATTTATTTAAATTAATATAATTTATTTTTTAATAAACAAATTCTACAAAATATCATTCAAATTAAAGTAAAATTAATTAATTAATTGGTCCAGTGCAACGTACTCCCTCCTTTCCAGATACCGTGTCTGCTACACTGTAGACACGGTATTTTAGGAGGAACGTAATTAGTAAATAATTAAGAATGTATTAGTGAAAATAATTATCCTATAATATAAATAATTATAAATTAAGATTAAGATAACTAATTAGTTTAATTAAAATTAAAAAAAAAATTAAAAAATTTAAAATGAGATTAAAGTGTGTAATCATTTTCAAAAAAAGAAAATGATATGGTATGTTGGACGGACAGAGACGGCAACGTGGACATGGTATCTGGGGACGGACAGAAACGGCAACGTGGACATGGTATCTGAGGACGGACAGAAACGGCAACGTGGACATGGTATCTGAGGACGGACAGAAACGGCAACGTGGATATGATATCTGGGGACGGAGGGAGTAGTTTGAAACTCAGTTGGGCCTAGGCCTAGGTTTCCAGGCCCATTAAAATTAGGCCAGACCTACTCAACACAAATTTAAAACGGACCAGGCTAAATATATTTTAGGATTGGGTAGCTTATGGCTTGGGCTAAATATGACTAGTGGGCCAATGCGCCGAGCTACAAAAAGGCCCAAATTTAATTTAAAAAATAATACTCCATCCGTCCCACATACCGTGTTTGCTACACTGTAGACACCATATTTTAGGAGGAATGTAATTAGTAAATAATTAAGAATGTATTAGTGAAAATAATTATATGATAATATAAATAATTATAAATTAAGATTAAGATAACTAATTAGTTTAATTAAAATTTAAAAAAAAAAAATTAAAAAGTTTAAAATGAGATTAAAGTGTGTAATCATCTTCCAAAAAAGGAAAGTGACATGGTATGGTACGTGGGACGGACAGAAACGGCATGGACATGGTATGTGGGACAGAGGGAGTATAATAAATAGAAAATATAGGACAGAGGGAGTATAATAAATAGAAAATATAGTAACAAATTAACTATTATTCGTTAAAGTAAAAGTTAATAAAATTGTGAATGAATAAACTTGTTTACTATAAATAGATTGCGTATAAATTTAACAATAAAATAAATAGTGGCATCAGACTGATGAATATATATATATTTATCTTATTTTGATCAGATGTTTGTACTCAAGAATTTATATATACATGGAATATTTTACATAATGATTGCAACAACAAAAGCCAATTTGAGATAGTTTTTCAAGTCTTTCATAGGGTGTGTGTTTTAGTTTGAAAAAAATTTGGTTTGAGTTTGATATAAAAATAATATTTGATGGGATATTTTGTGAGAGAAAAAAATATATTTTTTTAGAAACACGGAATTCAAATAATAAATGGAGAAAATTTGCAAAAGAAACGTACCAATAATTTGTCCTGTCAGATTAATCTTGTTTATATATATATATATAGTACATTTTTAGAAATAAATAATAATGGTGTTTGATACAATAATTTACATACAAAGTTGGAATTAAATGTAAAAATTTTTAAAAGAATTTTTTAGTAGAATAACTAAAAAGTAAAAAAATCAAAAAATAAAAGCAAAGTAACCAAAAGTCTTTAATTTAAATTTAACTGCCCTTAAGGGTTTGTTTACTTACTTTATAGATAAATTATTAATCATATTATTATTAATACATGATTAATAGTTTATCTCAAAAGTAAACATGTTCTAGGAGAATTATATGATCAAGTCATTAAAAATTACACTCGATTTTTTATCAAAAAGGATCGAGGCCTCTTCATCGTCGTAGTCGATCGAGCTGAATAATAATTCTAAACTTGAATGATGTGAGAAAAAGCTAAGACTTTCTCTTTCAACATTTCGGCATCGATCACTTGATTCTCTTGCGCCTGTTAAATTCGAATCGCAAAAGAAAAAAAAAATTAAAATTTTACGCATATAACGAAAAAATTATATTTGTTTGGTAAGTAAATATATATATATATATATCACATCGACGATTCTTAGTCGGTCTAATTATAGGAAAATATCACATCTACATATATATACATGTATAGGTCATATGCAATTTTCTACTAACAATTTCTTTTAGAAAAAAACCACCAACCATAATTTAAATACTTTTTAATTTTTAGTAGGCTTCAATTAAAGGATTAATGAAAATTAATTACCAAGAATACAATTATAATATTTCAAATACACGTTATATTATGAGATTTCAAATATTTCATATAATCAAATGATAGATTTTAATTACTAATATTTCAAATTCATTCATTTAATTTCTTTTCCTTTACTATTCAATTATTATAATTTACCACGTATTATAGGGATGACAATGGATCGAGTCCAGTCAAACTTGAGATGTGACCCGAGATCCGATTATACCCGGATCCAACCCGAACTATATTCAATCAGACTCAATGGACTCAACAAATCCGAAATATATTTATAATAATTAAAAAAAATTAACTTAAAATTAGACCTAAATCCAAGAGCAAACCCAACATATATTATTGAAAGTTATGTATTTTGTTCAAAAGTGTTGGGAAAAAAATAAGTAAATCAAACTCAAAAAAATATTTTTATATAATTATATTGTTAAAAATTATCTTTGTGATACATATGATTGATATTCTTATTAATATATTAAACGGGTCCCAGTCGGGTCCAGATCCATCTTAGACCCTAGATCCGATTAGGGTACACAATGCCCGACCCATGCCTCCGAATAATTGGACCCAACCCCTGGATCCTGATTGGGTCTCGGGTTTCCCCAATTCTATTATCATTCCTAATTTATTATTTCATATCACAAAATATCAGGTTGAAATTACTGTCCAAACTAAAAATAAAAAAATAATACCTGAAGATGCAAATTGAAGAAAACCCTATTGCTGGCAGAAGATTCGAAAGAAGAAGCATTGATGAGAAGAAACCCTAAGTCTTCGAAACCCTTGACAGTCTCTGAAAAAGGGTTTGTTTCAGACTTAGGCATTGAGGTCTGCACGATGATTTCATTAGGGTTTATCTGAGTTGCAGACACTGCCGATGAAGAAGACGACGATGGCTGAATTGGGACTTTTCTTGCAGCAGTAGGGTTTGTCTCATGTCCGGAGATTCTTGAAATTAGGGTTTCCTTCTGTCGAATAAGATTCTCAACTTGTTTTTGCAGCTCTGGAATATACTTCAGAACTTTCGATACTGTTGCTGGAATGCTCAGTTTTTTCTGTGTTCAATATAATCAATAAATATCTTAATCGAATCTGAATTAATTAGAATCATTTGGTTTCACGAATATCTATATGGTTCTAACATAGTCTCTTGTCTCAACTCAAACTATTCAATTTTTTTTTTTAGGGAAATAAATAGTATTTTATTAATTAGTAAAAGTTTGTAAAATGATTTTAATATTTTTTATTTTACAAGTACAAATGAATTGAATATTTTTTATATTTATATATAGATTACTTTTACTGTAACAAGAAGATATACTTTTAAATAGAATATACAAAAATGATAAAAAGAAAATTGGTATTACGGGACAAGAGGATTATTATCTATAAAATAGTTTTGTTTATCATTTTTGTTCGTCCCAAAACAATAGTCTCATTTCCATAAATAACCATATCACTATAAAATTATCCCTACTTTTTCATTATTATTACATAATTGCCACTACTTTTTACACTAATATACTCACAAGAGCAAAAAAGTCATTTATCCTTATTTTTTACCAACTACTGATATAATATTAATATTCCTTAATTTCCGTGCCCAACACAATAAAACTATACTTTTGAGACGGAAGGAGTATGTTATTTTTTCAAAGAAAAAATAAATAAAATATTATGATTATACGATGATACAATTTTTTATGATTATTAAAAATATATATATATATATATATTACTCCCTCCGGAATGAGTATTATCTATTTTTTTTTTTTTTTTTCAGTTTTTCTTGTGACTTTATTATTTTAAAATTATAATTAAGACTCTGTATTGGATTGATTTCATAACTAAAAAGAAAAATTGGAGAAATGATCCTTAGATTGTGTAGATGACATGTGGACAAGATTTTTTCGGCCAAAGCTTTTTAGTTATAAAACTAATTCAATACAAAGTCTAGTTATGGTCCTAAAATAATTTTCAAATGTTTTTCACGTATCATTCATATAATCTCCGACATTTGAGGACCATTTCTGCAAAATTCTTTTAGTTATGAACTAATCTGATACAGAATCTAGTTATGTTCTAAAATGATAAAGGATCTAGTCCAAAAAAAAAAGAACTTATCGAAAAAAGAATAGAGTTATATACCGAATGATGTTGAGGCGGAAGAAGAGACCTAAGAGAAGAATACAAAGAATTAATCCTCCGGCGACGGTCACGCTCGCTAGCGTTGTGATTGAGTTTCTTCGCCTTCTCGTCGTCATTCTCCTCGTCATCCTCATCGTCGTCAAACATCAAGAGGGGCTCATTATTATTATTATTATTATTATTGGGAATATTATTATTATTAATAGTATCGAAGGAGGGTGAAGAGGTTGGAGAGCTGGTAAGTAGTGTCTCAAAATAAGACATTTGCAAATTGGCGGTTGTAGTAAGATTTTGATTTTGATTTTGATTCTGATTATGTCCGAAGATTATCGGATCCTCCGAAGCCCACCAAAATTGAGGATACGATGATGTTGTTGTTGTCGTTGATGATGATACTGTAGCAGTAGCCAACATCTCTTTCTCTCTCTTCTCTCTCTCTACAACACTAAATATAAAGCAAACAACCAATCAAGAAATTTCTTGAGTGAGAGTGAGATTGTTCGAATATGGGAAGCTATGGATGAACTACTTTCTATATATATATATGTATTTATACTAATGTGTGTGCATTAGGATTTTGTGTTTTTTAAAATTATTATTACTCCTTCCGTCCCACATAATTTGTTCATATTTTCTATTTTCGTCCGTCCCACTTAATTTGTCTTTCCTATTTTTGGAAATATAATTATGCACTTTAATCGCATTTTAAATTTTAAATTTTATAATTTTCTTAATTTTAATTAAACTATTTATGTATCTTAATTTTAATCTATAATTATTTTTACTAATACACTTCTTAATTACTTACTAATTATACTTTACCTAAGTTCTCGTGTTTACAGTAATACACCTATATTACATGGGACGGAGGGAGTATTATTTATTAAAGGAGATGACATCTATCATATTTTTTTAAGTAGAACAATTAATATATTATATAAGATAAATATTAAGATATACTTCCATCGTTATCGAAATATAGACTTATTTATTTTTGGAACATTGAATATTTTAATATAATGTGTAATTTTTATTTTATGTTTTTGCTAAAAATAATAATAATAACAATTTTTCAAAAAAAATTAATGTATAACACATACTTATTATTTTTATAATGTGTGTTTACTTGTGCTATTTGATTTTCGATTTTACTATTTTAATTTTTTTTCCTCTAAAAATATTAAATCAAATACCTATTTTTTATTTATTATATTACATTAAAATTAACTTTTACATTCAAAACATCGTATCAATACATATTTATATCACATCAAACAACTATTTCAATTCAAAAAGTTTACGGTTCAAAACCAATACTTAAAATCAAAATCTTACAAATTAAGGAAGGATATCATTTTATTTTTAAGCATCGGAACATATGAAGTACTTCCTCCGTCCCGATACAATAGTCCTGTTTGCTAATTTTGTCCGTCCCAAAATAATAGTCTTATTTCCATAAATAACCATATCACTGTATAATTACCCTTACTCTTTCATTATTATTACGTAATTGTCACTACCTTTTACACTAATACACTCGCAAGGGCAAAAAAAATTTTTATCCATATTTTTTACCCACTACCAATATAATATTCAATATTTCTTAAATCTCATACCCAACTCAATTAAAACTATATTTAGTGGACGGAAGGAGTATGAAGTATATGATTATTATTTTATGTCAATCAATAATATAATAATAAATAAATTTAGAAACAGTAAATATAATATTAATGATAATTATTTATTAGGTTAGGATTAATTGTTGTAATAAAAAATATGGACGTGTGCGTATAAGTTTGGATTAGGAAAACACGTGAATGGCTTAAGCAATTCTTGTATTTATAATGCTGACGTGGCGACTTTCCAAAGGGAACCACGTTTTCCGTCCAGCTGTGCACGTGGAAACACGCTTTTTGTCTCATCCATATATACTAGTAAATTTTTTGGGAAAATTACAAAAAATATTCCACATGTATACCTCGTTATCACTTTTATTCTGTATTTATTTCTCTGGCAAAATATATCCCACATGTTTTCAAAAGTCGTTATTTTTATCATTTGACCGCGCGTGGCCGCGCGTAAGGGCGCGTGGTGTAAATTTCACGCGCGAAAAAATGACATAAATAACGACTTTTGTAAACATATGAGATATATTTTGCCATGGAGATAAATACAGAATAAAAGTGATAATAGGGTATAAGTGTGAGATATTTTTTGCAATTTGGTCTAAATTTTTTTATTATAAACATTACTTTTAATATTTAGGATAATTTATAATATTTTAGTAAAAAATTGAATAAAATATTTACATTCTTTTTCGTTCAAAGTTAATCTTGATTGTATGCATATTTTATGTAAATAAAATAACTAATATATTTTAAATAGTATTTTCAAAATAATTAAATAATTTATCAACAATTCATTATTAATTTTTTTAAATGAAATACTGCCTTTTTTTAAAAAAAAAAAAAAATTATAGTAAAATAATCATGCTTTGTATGAGTGTGCTATATTGTATAATCTCTTTATCGTACTGAAACCACAATATATTGTACTACATCAAATTATATAATGTATTACTCCCTCTGTTCCAAAAGTATAGTCATGGTTGTGTTGGTGACGAGATTTAAAGAATATTGATATTATATTGATAGTTGGTAGAAAGTATAGGTAAAAGATATTTTTGTCCTTGTGAGTGTATTAGTGTAAAAAGTAGTGGCAATTGTATAATAATAATGAAAGAGTATGAGTAGTTATATAGTGATATGATTATTTATGAAAATAAGTCTATTGTTTTGGGACGGACAAAAATAATAAACAAGACTATTGTATTAAGACGGAGAGAGTATATTATATATAATATCCTTATTGTACTGAAATCACAATATACTATACTACGTTGAATTATATAATGTGTTATATTATATATTATATTAGCATTTGCTGTGGGAGATATATATCATGTTGTGCTATATAGTTAATTACTTCCTCTGTCCCAGAACTATAGGCTGGGTTTGACATGAGATTTAAGGTATATTGATATTATATTGGTATTGGGTAAAAAATACGGGTAAAAAACTTTTTTGCCCTTGTGAGTGTATTAATGTAAAAAGTAGTGGCAATTGTGTAATAATAATGAAAAAATAAATGTAGTTTTATAGTGATATGATTATTTATGGAAATGAGACTATTGTTTTGGGACGGACAAAAATGGTAAATAGGACTATTGTATTGGAACGGATGGAATATATAATATGCTATCAAAATATATACTCCCTCCATCCACTTACAATGTATACATTTACTTTTAGCGCGGTATTTAAGAAATAATAATATTTTAATTACAGTGAGTAGTTAAAAATAGTATAATGATATTTTTGCCCTTATTTTTTGTGTAAAAGTAATGATATAATGTAAAGTAAGAGTATTTGTGAAAAAAAAATTAAATATTTAATAAAATGTTTACTTTCTAATTGAACATTTTAAAATAAAAATATATATACTTTCTACGTACACGGAGGAAATATTATTTATCATATTAAAATATATTATCTCATGTGTACTACTTTCTTTATAAATATGTATGACACTAATCAAAGCTAGAAAGGGTATAAAGCTTTACCATTTAAAAAACAACAAAATATAACTATATCATATTTAAATATTCTCTTTTAAATATTCTTTCTTTCCGTTGCTTATAAGGTCACATTTATCTTTTACTTTATTTTACTTCACATTAAAAATAGGGTTAATTCTCCTAAAATATCCAATTTGTAAATCATTTTTCTTATCAGTTTCTATTTATATAATTTTTTCATTTAGCTCCTTATTTATTCTATATCACTCTCTGTTTATTGTTATTACATATTTTCACTCATTTTACCCTCTAAATAATTTTTTATTCATATTTTTATCTACCAAATATAATTCAAAACTCTTAGATAAATAAATCTATGGAACAAATCTATTTATTTTATATAAATAAATTTTTATACATAGAATCTATTTACTTATGGCTCAATAATTTTTGCAGAATTTATTACAATACATTAATTTTTATAATAAAAAAATATTTTTCAAATAAAAATTCATTATTTTCAACTTGTTTATTATATTACTCATACTAATATTTAATTGAAATCAATATTTCTCTTATAAATATTTTATATAATTATAATGTAAAAGTTATGAGTACTTTTGTGTTATATATTTTATTATTATTATTATTTTTTGTCAATTATTATTTTGGTTGTTGTAATCTTTTATTTTATATTCAAATTAACAAAAAGTAGAAATAAATTATAAAAATTACAGTGTAGTTGAAAAAAAAGAAGACAAATAATAAAGAAATTAAACGAGGACACTATAGAGTTTTTACATGAATAGGGAGTGAAAAAATAAATAAATTTGTTAAAATAGAGAGTAAAAAAGATAAAATTAATGTATAAAGAGTAAATAAGAATATGAATATAGAATTAAGGAGATATGTGTTAGTTGCCCTTAAAAATATCTTTATATATATATTTTTTTTACAAATATCATTATTCTATTATTATTATAAAACACTACTGTAATTTTTTAAAATTTATACTTATATTTTGATATAATAATTAATATTAAAAAATCAACACTACGGTTAAATACCTTAGAAACGAACGAATATAATATAATAATTCTCATTACAAAATAAATTTTTGAAAATATTACATTAGAATAATAATAATATAGCATAATCTCAAATATTTTCTTTTACAAAAATCTCATCTAATACATTTTTCCTCAAAATTTTTACTATTCAATATTAAGATTCTCTATAAGCTAAAATAATTCATCTCACAAAATACCTCATTCAAATTACTATTCCGGTCACCGGATTTCTACCGGCGGCCACGCCCCCGGCTGCGTCCGCGAAAGCCGCCTCGTCTACCTCCTCGCCCTCGCCCTCGACCCGAAATACCGGGAAGCTTCAACGACTGTACGCCTCTCCTCTTTCCCGAACGTTCATTACCATCGCTGCCGTCATCGTCGTACTCCTTGCGTTTCGCAAAGCTTTTCGGATTAAAAGAGATTTCCCGAGACCCGCCCTGCCCGTGTTTCACCGTATCCTTCGAATTTTCGCGCAATTTCCTCAGAGCAGCTCGTTCCCCCAACGGGAGCGACTCTTCCTCCGCGAAGGATTTGCTGTTCCAGAATGCATCAGCATGGCGATCGTCTTTCACTTCGTAAAATCTGGGGACGTAAGAGTTTCTTGTTATTGATTCATCGCCTTTTTTCAGTTGTCAAAATGAGGCAAAATGTCGATTAGATATACGCACCTGGGAGCGCGGGCGTTCTTTGATTTGTCGTTTGTTCGCTCGTGTTCGTTGTCGGATGGTTCGCTTCCCGAAAATCCATCGGAGTCGCTAGCAGCAAGCTCGTCGTCATCCGGGACGGTTTTGAAGTGTTCCTCGAGCAAAGTAGGATTCTTCGCCATAGGGTGCAGTGCGCGGTATTCTTGAGAGAATTCGTCAACCTCAAAGTCCTGTAAGAGACGGGCGCAATAAAATCCATTATTTGAGTTAACATAGGTAATCAAAAAATCAGATATGTTTGCATAAATCTTATCATTACAACACTACATAATTTCCCAGAACAAATTGTAAATTATAGAGCTATAAAACAAACGAACTATTCACGAGTTCAGCTCACGAGACTCGTCCACTAAGCTAAATGAAATGAACACAAATATAAATTTTAGCTCGTTATGTTCACATATCAGCTCAAGCTTATCCACTAGCATTCAATAATGCTTGTTAAAAAATTATATTAATTTCTTTTATATTTAATAAGCATGTATATCTTTATAATATTATACTTGATTTTAATTTTCTAAATAGATTTATTAATAAATAATAATTATTATTATTAGAAAAAATAAGTTTAAATAGCTCAGTTTAAATAAAAATTTCCGCTCATATTTCTTAACAAACAAACACTAATCGAGCTCAAACATGAAAAACTCAGACTCAATTCGACTCATTAATAGCTCCAGCCTCCAGCCAAATACGAAAGTGCAAAGTTTCAAAATATAAATACCGACAGCAAAGAAAGTTATTTCGGAGTACCTTATTTTCAAACATGGATGTAAATCTATCATCTTTGAGTACTTCACTAGTGAGAGCTTTCTTCTTCTTTGTTTTCTTAGCATCAGACTTTTTCGGAGGTTCGGCGCCGTCATCTGTACCCTTGTTATCATTTTGCTCTTCCTCCTCCTCAAGAAGCCGGGATGCCAAAGTCCGATTAACTTTGGGCAGCTTCCTTTTAATCTGCAAGAAAGCAAAATAATCCAATCCATTAGTTCAACGGCAAAAAGGTAAGTGTGGAAAATTTATACCAAACAACATCCTGCTTCAGCAAATAATTTCGTCGAGGGACAAACAGCGATTTCCATTACCACAAGATAGAAAATTTAAACAATACCGAGCAACCATAAGTTCCTTGCAAAGAACAGTCGAACACAATATGGTTTGTGAACACAATAAATGAAACAGCACTGACCGTAATTCTGGAGGCACGCTCGGCTTCCATTTTTTCCTGCTTTCGCTTTTCTATATAAGACTCGTAAGCGAAAGGTTCAGCCCGACTTTGAGCCTGCAGAAATGAAGAAAAATTGCCATATTAAGTCCAAAACAATATCCAGAAACACTTCAAACTACATTATCGGGTTTAAAGTATTACCATTTTATACAATCGGTAATCAATAAAGAAACCGTGCATATAGGCCCTCAGCTTATCGGTTCCGATTAAATTAGTTAAATTCAATCTTGCAAGGTCCTCTCTTGTCAAGAACTTGTAATCGTCGTATATAGTTGTCTGTCCACCCTCCTCCAGCTCTTCCTGCAAAGCCATAAAATAAACAGGTACAATGTTAACAAGGCCCTTTTTTCTAATTGTCGTGCCAATGCATATTATTAAATAAAATAATAATAAATAAATAAAAACAAGAGCTTACGGTCATGTTCTCTAAATAAGAACACCACTTTGGGGCAGGTCCCAGTGCCGGAATGAAATAAGAAGGTATTTGGCTGCTCTCCAACGCCAACAAAATCAAACCACTATCTTTGAAGATGCACGTGTCGTTAATTTTGCCGGCAGCCGGTTCAATGCTAGTCATTCCATCCCCCTGAGGTGAATGAAACACAATGAACTGAAAATCCAAACATTCTAAGGAAGTTCATAAATAAAAATTTAAGCCGTTTCCCCGTCCTATAGGCAGCAAAGGCAACCACTTATAAGTGGTTGTAACTACAAGAAAGCAATCAGATACGAAAGGACATAGTTATAAAATTTATTTAGGATAGTAATATGTATCAGTTGGAAAATTATTGCATCAAAAGTAACCAAAACTATATTAGGCATCCTGGAAAATGATAATTTTCGCATAGCTCTATAGTATTCAATTAAATGTAATAAAATAAAATGAAAAGTAAGATGATCGGTAAAGCACAAACAGCAGTAGTAAAGTAAAAAAAAGTTCTAACCGTCTGAGGGTCCCAAATCCTAACAATGTGTTGATCGGTAGTGACTAATTTGGGCTGCTCGGAGTTTAGTGTCTTATGCCACTTAATGTTCAGAATTGGGCTCCCATACCTGCAAAAGAATGGTAAAAGGACCGAATTAAAAACCATAGAGTCATACAAAAAATAACCTAAACAGTAAACACAAAGCAAACCTTTGTTTGGATAGTTAAACTACATGGAAATATAAAAAACTCACATGTGATCTTTCACTCGCAAAGGATTAGAGGAACGGAGATCATAAATTAGAACCTGCAGATGAATACAATTATTAATTTGATTGTGGAGATCTCATTGTCTAAAAGGCAAAGATACAAAACATGAACATAATTTCCAATGAATAGTTACTCAGAGCAATCCATTGCGATAATTTCAAATTATGGATTCCAATGGTTATATTTAACATGGCATTGGATCTTTGCCACTTTCTCATTAAAGATGAAGCATTCATGTGACCTTTGATAAAACTGAATAAATGTCAATAGTTGAATGTTGAATGGTGAATAGTATATTGCTAAAAGATTGATAAATTTATATGTATTCCATAAATACAAATAATCGAACATTGAGTTATGCTAGTTTAAGTTGGATTTTACACAAAAATAACAAGAATCTATCAAGATTATATATATTTAACAAAATAAATATCTATATAGCTGCAATTTCTTATGAGTTGCTATTATAATTATCAAAAAATAAAAAACATATCTTCCGATTCTCATTTAGCTGTTAAAGTCATTTACTAATTATTTAACGGAAACACAATCACTCTGCCCCACTCATTAATAAGTCAGCCACAGCCTCATGGTCAAATAGATCAACGGAATTAAATCTATATCCTTAAACTTATTTGTAAGTGATCCTACAAAACAAAGCCTCGATCCAATATGACACAATAATGCATTGAATGTGATAAATCAGAAGAAGGTTGAAAGGAAAGAATTTTACTCCAATCATGGATATAGCAAATTATATTTACCTTCCCTCTGCTGCTTCCAACGGCCATGAGATAGCCTCCATCTCCATCAAACTCAATTGCCGTCACCTCCTACAATCAACACAATACAATTAAAAAATTCATATCTATTAAAGAACTTGCACGAAAAAATTTATGCTCGACCAGAGAATGAACAAACTCGTTACCCCATCAGCATGACCAGAGGGTGCAATAGCATCTAGTCTACCCACCGAAGACCTTGTTCTCATATCAAAACATTCCACAGCTCCATCTTCGCCCCCACCAGCAACCAATCCATGGACTTTGCTGAATCACAAACAATCACGTCATATAGTTAGTTACATAAAACAAAAAGACACTACCATTAGAGCTGTAAGACAAACAAACAGTTCGCGAACTCAGCTCAGTTCGGTCCGTTTAAGTCCGCTAAAAGCTCGTTCGCTAATGTTTGACAATATTTATTAAAAAATTAAATTAATATTTTTATATTTAATAAGTATATATCTTTATAAATATTATATTTAATTATATTTTATTTAAATTTATTAATAAAATTATAATTATTATTAATTACATTAACATTTTTTACAAAATTAAATAAATTTAATAAAAAATTTCTTAACGAGCTGAACCGAAGTGAATCGAACACGAACAAAAAATTGTTAAACAAGCCGAGTTCAAACAAAAATTTCAGTTCGTATCTTTTAACAAATGAACACGAGTCGAACTCAAATATGACAAGCTCGGATCAGTTCGACTCATTTACGGCTCTAACTACCGTATAAAAGTCCAGCATTACATACCTTCGAGAAACTACATTCAGAGCAGGTGATTGAGTGCTGAGAGAAGCTAGAAAACGTCCCTGTCAAAGACATTAATAGCATTGTCAACTTACATTTGATCGATAAAAGTTCAGTATTTGAAAACAAAGAGAGTGCAAAGCACGGTATGACGAACCTGCTCCAAATTTATCCTATATAGGTCTGGAGACGAAGCAGCACAAATTATGTCGCAAGACCAGCTGTCATATGCAATATCTCTCCCCATTCTGTTTAAAAAGAAGTGCACAAGATCACATTAAGGGTGTGTTCTTTTGACAAACTTTACCAAATTTTTACTATTCATCATATTTTTTCTCCCCAAAAATTCAAATCAAACACCTTTTTTTTTTTCATTTTTTATATTACACTAAAATCAATTTTACATTCAAAACATCATATCAATAGCTATTTATATCATATCATACAACTATTTAAATTCAATATTTTGACTATTCAAATCTCAAATCAAAATCCAAATCCCCAAACAAACACACCCTTAAGTGTTATCATGACCACCCAACACCAAAAAATTTCAGCGAAATTATATATTTAAGTAATTAATGTTCAATACTCATAGTCAATCAATTAGTGACGACTTGATGGCAAGAAATTAAAAACTCACTTTGCCGAATTTCATCCAACCGCCAAGATCAGAGACGTAAGCAAATACCTAACTAATTAACCACACATAACCTATTTCAAAACAATTTTCTTTTATACGAGGTATATATATTCCTGAATTATTCACTCGTCAACCCCATTATTAATTCAAATTTTAATTCAGGCTTACACAACTCAAAACCTTAAACACAAAATTTAATTCTCACGATCATACCCTATAATACCAACCAATTAATTGTATAATACTTTTGTAAAAGAAAATTATAATTGGCATCTCCCGAAAACACAAAGATATGCCCAAAGTAGCTTCCGAGAAAACCCTTTAACTCCATAACTGAAACTTTCTAAATGCAATACATAAATGTTTATTTGCAAATGAGGGGCAGGGAGATTCGAAGAGAGATAGAGAGAGAAACCTTGGGATCCTCAAGCTGTAGTGACTCCCATATTTTGCATGAAGACAAACAGACCGATCGGCACAAAGAAATGCCATCTTCGAATAATCATCATCCAAAACCTATTGTTAGAGAAACAAAAATGTTACTGATAAAACGTGCTCAGCCCGAGCAGGGGTAAAAAGAATCGATACTACAAATACAGTAATTAAGATACAAAAGAGCTTAATTTTAGCCTATTTCTGCTTGATTCCATCAGACATCGAATTGTTGACTGAAAAAGATATTAACCTGGAAATTAACAATTTCTGAAATCAAATGCCTCTCGAACTTTAGTGACAATTCGCTCAGCTCGTATACTTTAACTTGTGGAGGATAAATTCCTGAACTCAAACAATTATCAAACCATTACACTTCTATCAAAACAAATAAACCAAAAATTGTTGAACACAAAACAATATCAGTCTATTTGAATCACCTGAGGCTATAACATACTTCCCATCAGGGGTCACCTTAATCCTTGTGGTTGCAGTTTCTAACCTCAAATCCTGAATCAATTCCAACCTCTGCAAATAATCTGAAAAGAATCAACAAACACATCATTCACAAATCCCATCATTCGCCAACAAAAAAAAAAAAATTAAATTAAAACACTTCCAAACCTGGATTTTTGCGCAGTGCTCTAAGTTTCTTAGGAGGAAGAGCCCATGTCGCTGTAGAACGGTTCTGACTAGCAACGGTATACAATTTGACGCCATTTATCGACGTCGACTTCATATTCCCTCCTTGATACGCCATCGTCCCCGCGCCTAATTGGACACAAAATTCCACTCGAACTCAACTACTCCCTATAAAAGCACCGGCTCCGGCGCAGTCCCTATAGAGCCGCCGCCGGCGGTACCAATGAATGATTCTAAACAACAAAAAACGCTCCCAAATTGAGATTGGAACAGCGAAAATACTTCACAACTGTATTTATCGAAAACGCCCTAACTGGAATCGTCCATAAACGCAAAACCCTAACCCCTTCCAATTTCGAAAACCATATGAAAGAGACAACCCGATACGTAAATGGATCGGGCCGGACCTAACCGAAAAGGTAATGGGCCAGGTAGTATTTTGATTCAGCCCATATTTATTTAATTCATGGTTTATGGGTCGGATCATTATGCTTTGGTTTGTTTGGGACGTTTGTTTCGAATTTTTCTTTTTTAAAGATTTTAGATACTCATAAAAAAATAAAAAAAATAAAAATAAAAATCTAAAAAATATTAGAAAAAAATAAGTATTTTTTTTATATTACAATAAAAATAATCTTATATATTTAAAATAGCATATCAATATTTATTTATATCAATAATAATAATAATAATTAATACATATATATATATTGAATTTATTTTAATACTATTATACAAAATGCACTGAATTTTTTTTTCTCAATTTATATACTAATTTTGTTCTTGTATGAGTATTTATTTGAGATAATTTATTTTTTTTTAACTATTTTGTCTTTATTTTTTGTTTTATTATAATTTTGTATTTTCATCTTCAATCAAATTTATTCTCAATTTTTTATGAAATTTATTTTTTACTAACTTATTCTGTCAAATATTGTCATTTCAAACTGTCTTTTGTATTTTTTTTATTTTCTCAATGATATGCATTTGCTATGCTCTAAAGATGCCATTTATTTTTTGCTTATAAATCTTTAAATATTAATTATTATATCAAACATAGTACAAACTATAAAAAAAAATTGTAAAAATATTTTCATTAGTGTCTTATAATACTAATAGAATGATATTTGTACAAAAAATTATACAAATATAAAAATATTTTTAATGTTAAATACAATAATGCAAATGTAAATGTGACCTTAGATGCTGACGGAACGTGAATAATTTTACGAGATTGATAAAGTAAATTGTATTGATAATAATAATAATAATAATAATAAACTTAACCTCCAAAAATATATAAATATGTTGAATCACATAAGAAACTATTAAATAATTGTCAATAACCAATTTATCTACTTTTTTAATTTAATAAATATGATATCCATCTAATAATAAAATACTCTTATATTTTATTTAAATTCCCCGTTACAAATACCTTATTTAAACTTTTGAGATTATTTTAATCTATGCATGGATAGTATATTTTATTATATAAGAAATTTATTGAATTACAAATAACATGTGTTCAATCAATTGAATATTACAGTTAGCAGATAATATACATTTCTTTTATCCACAATAAATTTATTTATTTTACAATTATGAATTATTTACAATTAATATACTTAATTTTTAATTTAATGAATATGATCCTTACATCATAATAATAATAATAATAATAATAATAATAATATATACTACTTCCGATGCTTTAAAATCTTGTATGTTATATATAGTTCGTCTAGTGTAACTTGTCATACTAATTTAGTTTGTAGGTTATTAAGTTCAGTCGGATACTATTCGGAACATATCGCATACTATTTCTGTCCGACTACAAAGTAAACATTTACTTTTATTGTGAAGTTTAAGAAATAATAGTATTTTAATTGCTGTTAAAAGTAGTGTAAAGACATTTTTGTTCTTACTTTTTTGTGTAAAAAATAATGATGTGATGGTAAAGTAGAGATATTGGTAGAAAAAATTGGATATTCAATAAAATGATTACTTTATAATTAAATAATCTAAAATAAAAATATGTATATTTTTTTTACTGGACGGATGGAGTATTCTGTCCACCTTAAGGTAACCGTTTATTTTTTACACATAAATTTTAGAATATTAGTACTTTATTAAATAATATTCCCTTCGTCTCACATACCATGTTCATGTTGCCGTTTCTGTCTGTTCCACATTCCATGTCACTTTTCTTTTGTTGAAAATGATTACACACTTTAATCTGATTTTAAACTTTTTAATTTATTTTTTTAATTTTAATTAAAGTAATTAGTTATTTTAATCTTAATTTATAATTATTTATATTATAGGATAATTATTTTCACTAATACATTCTTAATTATCTACTAATTATACTTATCTTAAATTCTCGTTTTTACAGTAACCCAAACATCCAATGTGAGACGGAAAGAGTAATAAAAAAAAGGATAAAAATATCTTTTTTACACATAATTCGCTTATTTTTTTAATGACATTTTTTACAATATTATGTAAAGTATGAATGTATTTTTTATTTAAGTGAGACGTACAATTACTTAAAAAAAAATACAAACACATTTAGGGTGGACATATTAAAATAACAGAATAAATATATTGAGAGTAGACAGAGAAACTTCGTCCGTCAAAATTAGTTACACTTCCTTTGTAAAATTCAAAATTAGTTACACTTTCGTATGTAATTTTACGAAGAAAATGTAATTAATTTTGCCGGACGGAAGAAATATTAATTTACGGATACTTTTGATGTGGAGTGTAACGAATGTTGTATTTTAATAGTAATTAGTACGTATTTTTTGCAATCTTACTTTTGTATTTTTATTTTTTGCAACGATATTGATATAAATAAATATAAATTTAGATGTATCTATAATGTGTAATAAAGTTATATTTATTAAATATATATGTTTAAACGGATATAAATGAGTGGATTTGTTTGTTTTTTTATTTCAAATCACTTTCTATATTCATTTGGTAAGATTTTTAATTAAAATATAATAATTTCTCTGTAAAATTGAAAAGTTATAATTTTCTATTTTTGTTCGTCTCAAAACAAGGTTATTATTTCTTAATTTAGTAATAGTAATTGTACTACCTATACCTAACATAATAAATATCCTTTCAACTTACATTATATTACACAAATGTCATTACTTTTATATTAGACCATACTAATAGGGGTATTTTTGTCTTTTTTACTACAATCCAATATAATACTCCCTCTGTCCACTTACAAAGTTTACATTTACTTTTGGCGCGGTATTTAAGAAATAATAGTATTTTAATTATAGTGAGTAGTTAAAAGTAATGTAATGACATTTTTGCCCTTACTTTTTTTTTTATAAAAGTAATGATGTGATATACAGTAAGGGTATTTGTGGAAAAAAAATAGGGTATTTAATGAATGTAAACTTTGTAATTAGACGTCCCAAAATAGAAATATATAAACATTGTAAGTGGACGGAGGGAGTACTAATATTCAAAAATTTACGTGCAAAAAGCAAATGTCACCCTTCCAATAGAACGGATGGAGTATTTATTTTTTAAATATATATGTATCAAATTTGAAATCAAAATTTCAATTTCAGATCAAAACCAAACACAAATAGACTAAGGGTGTGTTTGTTTGAGGGATTGGATTTTTTTTCCACTATTCATTCAATTTTTTTCCCCCAAAAAACATCAAATCAAACATCTATTTTTTATTTTTTATATTATACTAAAAATCAATTTCATATTCAAAACATCACATCAATACCTATTTATATCACATCATACAACTATTCAAATTTAAAATTTTTACTATTCAAATCCCAACTTAAAATCCAAACCTCCAAACAAACACACCTGAAGGAATCTAGATTTGTAAATTTGCATGTGTGTATGTTTGGTGTGTAGCCAAAACAAAGATTCCAATAATAATAATAATAATAATTAATAATAATAATAATAATAATAATGATAATGATAATAATGTGTATGGGACATGAAGTGGGATTTGCATTGGAAAAAAAATAAAAATAAAAATAAAAAATAACAAAGTGTGTGTAAGGACAGAAACAAGAAAACATTAGGTAAACATGGCTGGCAATAATATATTTGTGGATCACATCTATTATTACATGTTTCTTTGTCTCCATGTTTGTTTTTTTAATGTAGTATTAAAAAAGTATATAAATAATAATAATAATAATAATAATAATAATAATAATAATAACAAATTGTGAGTAAATATTTGATGGGACATAAATATACATTGATATTTCGTATTAAAAATTGATTTTTAATATAATATTCTTTTTATTTTATACATACGTATTCATTTACCTTTTATACGTAGATTCATGTCTAATGTGTAAAAACATATTTACTAAATGCCTTTAATGTGTAGGAATCTTATTTGCCAAATTAAAAAATAAATATATTGACGGTATACAACTGAAAATAATAAAACTATATACTAAATGGAGTATTTTAAATGAATATTAGATATTTCATGAGATTTTTTTAAAAAATATATATATAGTCTTTCCGTCTCATTGAAAGGTTGTCATTTTTCATTTTCGTCTATTCCAAAATAAGATTATCATTTTCTAATTTAGTAATTGTACTACCTACCTAACATAATAAATACTTTTTCAACTTAAACTATATTATACAAATTTCATTACTTTTATATTACACAATACTAATAGGGGTATTTTCGTTTTTTTTACTACAACTCGTTATAATACTAATATTCAAAAATCTATGTGCAAAAAGTAAACGACACCCTTGCACCGAGTTTTTTTTCTTTCATGTATTACATTTTTGTATAAATTATTGTATGTATTGCGCGGGTTTTTTTTTTTTTTTTCTCTTATAAGCTAAATTTATCGCTTATTGAACATTTTGTCAAAGCCTATAGACAAACCAACTTCCAAAAAAGCTTAATAATTAAAGAGAATTTTGTTATAAAAAAATTTAATTACAAAATATTATATTAACTACTATTTTTTTAAAAAAAAATCAAAATAAAAATATAGAGCCAAATGCACCCGATTTACAAATATTGCATTCCTATTTCTTTCTTTAATAGTAATAATAATTTAAAAAGAAAATTCACATTCACCAATATATACTCCCTCCATCCAGATAGGAAATATACATATTTCTATTTTAGGACGTCCAATTACAAAGTAAACATTTCATTAAATACCTCATTTTTTTCTACAAATACCTTTACTTTACATCACATCATTACTTTTACACAAAAAGCAATGACAAAAATGTTATTTTACTACTTTTAACTACTCACTATAATTAAAATACTATTATTTCTTAAACAC